GTTAATAAAGGGAATAGAAAGGCAAAGTTTGGTTCATATTACGCTAATTTGGTTCAAATCCCAGTAGGATTCAGAGACACTGTTGTTCTTTAGTATCATGAAGTACCCTATTTATGAGCATTAGGGCTCTGAGCATCATTGGAGATTTTTGCATCATCTCTGATCTTCAGTTGAGCCAGGAGTGAGGAGGGAAGGAAGGACACGCAAACTGGGTCATCAGCTACCATGTGGTACAATTTTGTCCTTAGGGAGCACAGTATATGGAGCGGAAGATTGAGGTCACAACATGATTTTCCAGCTCTAGGTAGAGGACAGTCTTTGCTTTTTGCACTTCTGTTAAAATTTGAAGCTACATACTCCTAGAAGAGTAACATGTCAATGTTTTCTTTCTTCCTTAAATGCAAATATATTCTGAGCATTTACATATGACAAACCTGTGTTATTTCCATTCTTGTCTAGATTCCCTAAGGAAGAAACACGGATTGACTGTTTTCTTGATGGTTAAGTGTTAAAGATTTCAGTGCTCAGAATTCATTGTAACCACCTTGAAAAAGCAATACTACCTTTTAATTTTGAATAGGCAATATATTAACCCCATAGTTAAAAAGTATTAAAAAAATGCATTAGAACACTTTGTATCTGTCTGGTTCCTATTCCCTTCTCTGAACAGGTAAACATTGTTAGTACTTTTATATGTATTATGCTATAATTTTGTTGTGCATTTAGAAGCAAAGAAGAAAATATGGTCTTATAGTCCTATCGTCTTTATACAACAGGGCATACTGTCTACATTGCTCTTTAATATGCTTTGTTCATTTACCACAGAGAGCTTCCTAGTTCTGTCTTATGGCTGTGGTATTCTACTGTATAAATGTACTGTAAATGTATTGAACCAGTCCTCTGCTTATGAGCATTTGGGTTTTTTTTTCTTTTTCGTTTTTCTTTGCAAACAAGTTTGCAATGAAAATCTTTTTCTGTAGCTGTCATTTTACACCCCTCTAGGATTCATAATAGGATAAATTCTTGCTTACCAGCTATGAATTCAACAGTTTGTGCTAAGGTGTGTTAGAGAAGGCTTGGTACAAAGCTCTTGTGTGCTTAAACTGAGCATGTGACATTATGCAGACAGACATGACCAGAGTCAGGTTTTAAATGTTTGAATGAGATTCTCAGTGGGTAGGATTGGAAACTGCGTCATGATGTCCAGATCTGACGATTTCTGTCACTACCTGAGGCAGAGCAGTGTTTGTGTTCTGGACATGATGTTTGTGTTTTCACGACTGGACACTTAGGAATGGATGCTGCCTCCCTCATTAGATGGAGTTAAGACCCTAACATTTAACTTCCGCCAAAGGTGAAACAGCACAAATGGAAAAGCAGCTAAGAACCAGGAGCCCTGCACGGTTGGAATGCGTCCAACTGGGACAGTTGATAAGACAAGATAAGATAGCCAGAGCTACTTAAGTTCATTCTGGGGTGATCTTAGCAGCACTCTTAATAGAGTGTTGGGTCCTAGGGAATTTTCTAAATTTTCAAAGAATATATACCCCCTGACACAGTTAACAGTTCCAAAATATGGAGAATAGGACTTTTATAGGCACAAATGCCATTTTGTGATCAAAAGCGAAAGCAACCAAAATATAATAAAGGAAATGTATAGGTACCAGTCTCACTCGTGGACCTAAGCCACCTGAATCCTCAGCAACAAGCGAGGGAGTAGTTGCTACTATTGCACTGAAACAATTAAGTTTCTCTCAGGGACTGGGGGATGGAGGAAATGGGTGAAGGGGGTCAAAAGGTACAAACTTCCGGTTATAAAATAAATAAGTCCTGGGGATGTAATGTATTGGATGGTGACTATATTTAACAATACTGTGTTACATATTTGAAAGTTGCTAAGAGAATAGATCTTAAAAGTTTGCATCACAAAAAAAAAATTGTAACTGTGTAGTGACAGATGTTAACTAGACTTCTTGGGATCGTTTTGCAATATGTACAAATGTCGCATCATGTTGCAGACCTGAAACTAGTATCCTGTTATATGTCAGTTATACCTCAACAAAGTTACATTTCAGATGGTAAAAATAAGTAAATAAAAATGAAAAGTTTGCCTCAGGAAATTGCAGCCACTGTGGCATGAGAAAAGCCTTTAACCAAGTTTATCAAATTAAAATAAAAGCCAGGAAAAAATCATAATGGTTTCAGAGGCCTAATAAGGAGTCAGCAAAATCCAGCTCTTATTTTTGAAACACTTAAGAAAAAGTATTGACAGATTCTTAACGATGTAGGTATTTTATTTTAAAACCTATTATGTCCATTGAGAAAACAGTAGCGTTAATCTCCTTAAATAAAAAAAAAGATAAGGCTCTCTTCCTATCTTTAAAAAGTTAGAAATGGAATTAACCATTCAATAAGAAAAACAGATTTAAAGGAAGGTACTCTGTATACATATAATCAAGGAATTTAGACAAACAGTAGCAAAAACTGTCAGTAGAGTTTTAAGGTAAATTCAAGAAATCTTGATAATACAGTGAAAAAAATTTAGTTTACAAAGAAAACATCCATTTACAAACATGCTTAGCTCTTGCCTGACTTTGGTATAAGAGATCATTTGAAAGAAAATATTAAGTTTAGTGCTATAAAAGGAGCATTCTGTATTCTGAATTCTGTGTAGTGTGAAAAACAATGTTTAATAAGTTAATTTAGATTTATTTCCTTATGAAATAACTTAGTAGAACCTGACCAGTTAATACTAAAGTTCATGTGAAAGACTTAAGTAGGCAAATATCTTAAAGGTTTTTCCAAAAATATTCATATAAAAGATTCACCTCTCAGATTTTAATTATAACCTAACAGTTTTAAAACTCTGATATTGTGTTAAATAATAAAATTAAGAAATTTAGCATAGAAAGTCTAGAAAGAGAATCAAACATTGTTAAGGATTCAAGAAGTGATAAACTCAAAGCAAGGTATCAATAAATACATGAATATTTCAGTAAGTATTGGTAGGATGTGTGACAATAATCTCAGTCAGGAGAATTAACTTATAGCTGCATAAATTGTAGTAAATTCTAGATGGCCAAAGAATTAAAAGATGTTTTTTGCTGTTCTGTTTGTATGTATAAAATTATATAAAACACTATTAAAGCATAGATATTTATATGTAGATTTATTGAAATGAAGAGCTATCAGATAATGGGCTTGAATATTAAGATTATTGCATAAATGTTTACTTTTAGTTATGTAATGCATTGTGTCTCCACCCCATTTCTACTTTCTGATATGGGTGGGAACAGTAGGCACTTGGCGCCAGAGGCCTGGGTTCTGACTTTGAGTCTGTCCCATAGAAGCTGTCTACGCCTGGGCAAGGCCCTTCACATCCTGGAACCTTTACTGGGAGGATCAAGGAGAGGGACAGTGAGAACATTATGACCGTAAAACACTACACTTATTGTATGTTATGTGACTATATATAATTCTAAGAACGTCTCAGGAAGTGACATAAAAGGAATACTAATCAGATATTTTGACAAACTGTAAAATATTTAGATTATTTTCCATTAACATATGACTATAAAGTTGTTCCCCCTTGAAGCCTTTAATGTTATGACTATAAACTTGGTTGCCTTCTCCATCTGCTTTGGAAGTGGTAATTATTGCTAATTAACTCTTAATGATTACTAATCAAGACCAATGGGCAAATACTTTCCCCTTCTCTTTAAGTATTTTTGAAACACAATAGATATTTCAGTCATTCTAGAACTGAGATTGTCAAGTATTAATACAAATATGAGTTGTTTAACCATGGAAAGCAACCACAGAAAATGAGAGCCTTTTTTCCTTTTTTTTACTTAAAGAGTATATTGAGTGTTTTTTACCATTGGTTCCTGGAACATGAATACTAAGGTTTCTTTATTTTCCTTCAAAAAAATCACTGTAGTTTTCCTCCCCCTGAAAAATTAGATAATTGCTGTTTATAAAATTGTCTTAGGTTTGTTTGTTACCACAGAATGTGGATGCCACAGAGAATGCGTATGAGAATAAGGAAACAGTCACTTTTTTAGTTTCTTGTGTCTTTTTTTTTTTTTTCAGGTTTAGATTTGTTTTGATTCTTTGGCCTACTTATTTCCAGAAGCTAAGCAGCTTGTTTTCTGTTTTTCCACTTCTGTTTGATATTTAAAGTGACTGAGACATTTGGAATGGTTCCAAAGCTGAACAGTTTTTCATTTAAAATAAAGTGGAGTAATTCACAGAAAGTGAACAATCACTTAACGTGGCATCTTAGATGGATCTGGAGTATTAGCATGGGCTTTAAAAAAATATTTAAGCCATTATTACTACTTGAAGGGGGGAGAAGACAACAAAGCTTGTGTTTGCTAGAAAACAGAATAATATAGTCAGGAGTCTGATACTCAAGGGACTTCAAGATCAGGACCCAAATGTAAGTAGATTTTCAATGTACATGATGATTTATTAGAGATTAGGAAATGCCTCGTCTGCGGTATAAATCTTTGTAATGACCAGGCCATCAGCAGGAAAAGGACAGGAAGTTTGTAGAAAAGGTATGGGAAGAGGGAAAGGCATTTAAAATCCAATCGTTTGTGTTTTTCTTTCGGCATATGTGATCAGAATACAGAGTCAGAGTACTCGTCACAGAGGGGTTTCTGTACCATTTTACCTAGAAAATTAGGAACTATGGAATCAACATTATTTTGCACAGAATTTTCATGTTTCTGGATTGCTAAATCTGTTTGTTTCATGTTCATAATTCTCTGCCCCACATAAATCTTTTAATGTCAGAGTTAAAGCCATTGTCTGTGTTTATGAATTCCAAACATCTGGCTATTTGACGAATTCCCATTCTCATCCATATACGTTCGTTATGTAAACAGAACTTAAATGCATTTCTGCGGCTCATCTAGTGGTTTTTGAACCCAGATGGTAATGATTATAAAAATTAAAATCGCATATCTTACTACCTATGTTAATTGCTTTTGCAGTTGAAAAGGGCAGGCAGAAGAGTCCCAGAAGTTTATGTATCCAGACACAGACGTCTCCAGATGCACTGTCCTCTGAAAAAACGCTTGAGCTGGCTCGGTATAAAACAAAATGCGAAAACCAAAGTGGATTTATCCTGCGGCTCAAGCAGCTGCTTTCCTGCGGTAATACCAAGTTGGAGGCATTAACCGTCGTGATTCAGCACCTACTGTCTGAGGTGAGGATGTGCCCTTCTGAACAGTCTTCTCACTGAGGTGGGGGCTGGGGGCAGTGGCGGCGGGCAGTGCTCCTGCTCTTGTGAATATCTCTACATTAATGATGGGTAAAATCAGATAGAATTCATCCAATTATGGTTTTGTCAACTCACTTGATACCTGAGTCACTCTCTGGAAATTTGGCATTGAAACGTTTCTTAGTACTTCCTTTTTTGCCTCTAGAGTATCTTCGTTAGACCAACAACAGCAAAAAAGTAATTGCCTGTTTTATTTCTATATGCCTCCAGACTATATTAGCATTAACATTTTTAAGTTAATTTTTGTCTACCTATGTGCAGCTTTCTATATCACGCTTAGTTTAATGCTTTGGCAAATGAGGTTGATTATATTTATGGGTCAAAGAACGTTTCTGAGCTAACTCCTAGTATTGGTCTGGGGACTTTCCAGAAGTTCCATCCCTTCCTGAAAGAGTTTGTGGTACAATAAACTTAAAACAGTTTTTCTTTGCTTACTACCTCTTCCCTGATATTCTACAAGGATGTTCATTCAGGAACTAGTTAAAATTCATTGAGAAAACCAAGTTTCTGTGAACATATGCTACTGGCATAGCAGCAGAAGCTACAGTTGCCTACAGGGAAACAATGGGGCGAGACTATAACTTAGCTCTTTAGATATTTTTTAATCAGAGTTTTAAAGATGGGCATACGTGACATCTCAAGAAGAAAACTGTTCAATTTGTTTATTCTGTAGTTCCATTCAGTCGAAAAACCTATATATTCATTTCCTGCACAGGCTGCTACGATGGGATTGCTGTCTGGGGTGGGACAGTTGGAGGTAAATGAGACTGGTCTGTGCCTTTGATGAGCTACCAAGCTCTAGTAGACAGTTTAGACTGATATTTGATGAACATTTTACGGCTTTGTCCAAATATATTTTTTTTGGTGACATTTACCTAGTTTTTAAATTACAGTGGTATTCAGTATTTTTGTTTCTCTTGAATACATAAGGAGGGAATTTGAGAGTTGGTTTATATAACCAAATGAGCTAAATTGGAAGCCACATAATATCAAATGTAGGGAACAACTAGTCTGTCTGTTTAGTTTTACTACATCTAGCCTAACAACCCCACGTCCAACCCTTTTCTCTCCCTTATCTCCCCACGAACTCGATCATCGTCACATCCTGTGCACTCTCACCCACAGTGTTTCTCCCCTTCGTCCCCTCTTTTCCATTCCTGCCGATGCGAACCTTGTTCAGACCCTGGATAACTGTCCACTGGATGATGATGGTAACTTCGTAGGCAACCTTCAGGCTTGCAGTGTCTCCCCTGTAACCCATCCAAGCACTGCTGGCAGAGTCATCTTGCCAAAGCATTCCACTCTGATTGAAACCTTCACTGGTTCTCCATCATCCACAGCTGGTCTGTCCAGCAGTGTAGCCAACGGCCTGTTGAAGCTCTTGAGCATTTGAAGTGCGGTGAGCTTAATTGAAATAGGCAGTAAAAGTAAAATACACATGGATTTTGAAGACAGTATGAAAGAAAGGATGGAAAATATCTCGTTGATTTTTCTATTGTCTATGTGTTGAAATAATATTTTGGATATACTGGGTTAAATAAAATATTAAAATTTAATCTTTTAAACCTTTTTAAAGTGTGGCTACTAGGAAATTAAAATTATGTACATGGTTCATACTATATTTCTTTTGGATGACTCTGGTATATAACTTGGAATATAAGACACTCTAGTTTGGCACCAACAGCCCTTTTTAACCTTACCTTCACTGCCTATATGTTCTAGCTGTATAATTAGGGAGGCAGAGGAGAAATGAAAGGAATTTAACATTTGTTGAATATATAATAAATACCAGACATTCTTGCTTATTAAATCTTATCCAAAAACACAATTTGGAATTTACAAATAAGAAAATTGAGGCATAGAGCTGTTCAGTAACTTGACTCTCAACAGACAGCTAGTAAGAGGAGGACCAGGACTTGAACCCGGGTCTAGGACAGTATGAACTCAAAATCCCCTGTAAACTTCCTGTACTTTTTCATCCTTTGTTCAAATCCCATTACTAGGCTACCGCCTTTCTCCCTAAAACCCATGTGTTCAGGTCTTTCTTATAGTAGCATCACATCCTTACCTGCATTTCATTTACATGGATTCGTTAGACAACCAACCAAAAGTAAAAGACCTGAATTGAATAGATCAGGCGGTCCTGCCTTCCGTGCCCCCTCAGTGAGCAAAGGCCCGGGAGTGGATGTGAGATGAAAGACAGGAGTCCTTCCTTCAGCCGCGTGCTCAGTCCCTAAATACCTCGTATGGCAGGAACATTCTACACTCCACGTGATCCTCATGTTTAAAGATACCGTCTTCCCATACAGCCTGACCCCTAAACACAAGCCAAACACTTGATCAGGTGCACACTTGGAGAAAGAGTAGATTCAACCCTAGAGGAAAAAATCTCATGGGGTTGGATGTACTGAGAGGTGCTTTATCAGTCCACAGCAGGGCAAACTCCTGATGAGTTTCAGGGATGCTTTTACTGTATGTGAATTTCATCTTACGCTTAATTTAGGTCCAAATGCACATGTGATTGTGATTCCACAGAATTTCTCAAAATTCAGCTCAAAAACTCCCTCTTCTATGAAGACTTTTCCTGGTCCTTTTAACTCTATGTTCTGTCTATCCTCTGGATTCTAGGAGCACATATTTCTCTGTCACTCTCTACCTTATAATACAGTTAACCATTTAGTGCTTATTTTTGCTTTTTAAGTAAAACTCACCGACGCTAGGATCTACTATCTAGTTCTTTCTTAGGAAACTGCCCCAGCAGTTATGGCAGTGCCTTATACGTAATAGACTAAGAGTGTTTATCTGGGTGAACAAATGGCCATGTAGAGAGGATGGTATCCCAGATGTAAGATGAACATATAAAGTCTTTATGTAAATGTCCTTTGCTCTTTTCCAGCTCTTTATAATCAATCAGCAAATGTTTACCGATTGCCTAATGTGTGCAGGGCACTGTTATAAAACAGTTGCAAAGGAAAGACATAACCAGGGGAAAAGTTAAGCAATTTCTTAAACAATTTTTTCTTAACCCTTTGGTTCTCTCATACCCATTACAGAAGTGATTGAGTGATAGATATGTAGATTGATCTATATATACATATATATCTTGTTATTGCTAACTTTTTCTAAATGGTTTCAGAGCATTAGATTATGGGTAAAAATGGTTGATTATAGGGAATCCTGAGTTTATCACCTATCTTTTTCTTGCAAGTCTATTTAATCACTACAACTTTCCCACTTTAGCGGCAGACATAATTTGTCACATAGCAGAAGTTCTAATAAATGTCTCATGAATCTAGAAACTAATACCACACTTTCTATCTCTCTACTGTTAGTTTTAGTTTGTTCCAACTCTTGGTTTATCCTTGCATAGTTGTACAATATTCTGTACAGACAGCCAAAGTGAAGGAGTCTGTGAACTCCTCATAAAAAGGCTATGAGTGAGTTTCTAGGTAAACCTGAATGGGACCAAGGCCACCCCCAACCCCTGCCAACCTCTATGTATTCAGTGTGCCTCCAGTTCTGTTTTTGTAAGCAGAATCTAACCTAAAGTAGCACCTAAACAGAGTGAATTTTGAATGACACTAGCAGGCTACTATAAGTAAAAATGTCTCAGAACAAAAAAGTGGACATGATTCATTGTGTAGGTCATGGGGAGGTCAAAGAGAGCACGTATCTGACGTGGCTGTTGTCTGCAAAATCCCCTGTGCTGTTGATGCTCTTCAGTAGCTAGCAAATTCAGGCCACTGATGGGATGACAGCCAGAGCCTAAGTGCCCGCATCCCAGGGACTCCTAATTAAATTATGGCGAATCCATTTTTTTCTTGGAGCACGTCATATATTTAATGCATGAGTATAAAGGCTTTTCTCTATCCACATTCCCACCTCCCTCTTTTTTCACATTATGTGGAATTCTACGTGTTACAATACAAGGAGGATTAAATAAATTTATCTGGACTATAAAGAGTTTATCATCTTAGATGGAAACACTGATAAACGAACAGCTAAATAAAAAGAAACAGGCAATCAGTATCTATGTGACAAAATGCATTTTATCATCTACAAATAAAGGGTAAGTATCTTAAAGGGCTAGCTACCAGGGAGAGTTGAATAGAAACTAACACTTAGTGTGTGTCTATTATGGTATGGGCACTGGTTGGCGTTTCACAGAGGATGGTATTTTGAAGACCTTGGTTTTTCCATTATCCTGTACTGCTTCCCCTCAGGTGAGGTCATCTGCTTTGAGTGATGACCAAAGAATTGGGCTTGGATGTTTTAGTTCTTTCTAGATCCCAAGTTTCTTGAAGGCAAGAACCATGTCTTAAATTTCTTCCATGTTTTTCCCAGCATCTCGAATGGTGCTTCATTAATTGGTACTGAGTAATAACCTGCTAACCAATTCAAAAGGATAAATGTCCTATCTGGCATTTGGGGGATGGGGATGGTGTCTATGATTGACATTTAGCATTCCCTGAAGGTTAATGTAATGGGTCAGGTAAAGAAGACCAGACATTCCAGAGTATAGAGGTGGACTTGCGTGATGAAAATGACTTGGACAGAAAAGGAGTTAGGAGTCTAAACAGGAGCTGGATGATTGAGGTTCATGGAAGGAGGGTGAAGTTTATTTTTTTATGCACTGAGTGGAAGAGTTTTGTTTGTTTGTTGAGGAAGATTGGCCCTGAGCTAATGTCTGTTGCCAATCTTCCTCTTTTTGCTTGAGGAAGATTATCCCTGAGCTGACGTTTGTACCAATCTTCCCCTATTTTGTATGTGGGATGCCACAAAAGCATAGCTTGATGAGTGGTGGGTATACAGGTCCACAGCTGGGATCCGAACCCATGAACCCTGGGCTGCCAAAGCAGAGCTCGTGAACTCAACCACTATGCCACCGGGCCGGCCCCAGTAGAAGACTTTTTGAGCAAGGGCATTTATAGGTACAAAGAATATGGAGTAATAATCTAGCAGCCCTCTGCAAGGTAATGTGGAGAGATGCTTTCCATAGTCCAGGAATGGATAAGTGAGGATCAGGACCAGGGTGGGGGTAGCACTAGTAGAAAAATTGAGATGGATTCAAGACCCTTTAGGAAGGAAGAACTGACTGACTTTGGCATAATCCATTTAGACAAAGAAGAGTCAAAGGTGACCTCGTGGTATTCCCGTCACTGTTACTGGGATTGACAGAGCTTGGAAGACGTCCATGGCTTCTGGACCCTGAGGACAGGGAGGTTGAGTGCAGTAGAGTTGGGAGAAATGTCCACATAGGTCCTGAAATTCCTTGTTCCCAAAATCCCTTTGATAAGCAAAAAGATCATCTGGGATATATTTGTGATAGGACATAAAAGTTTTCTCAAAATTACTCCTGGAAATTATATACCAACTTAATTTCTGGAAAATTATATACCAACTTAATTTATGGAAATTTGGAAAGTGACAACTTCTTGCCAGCTTTTCCCTCTATTAGCAGTTTAGCTGCTCTCGGAAAGAGTGAACTTGAAGCAGGCTCACTGATGTGTCACAGGATAGCTTGTGGGCATCGAGTAAAGCTGTCTTCTGGTTTTCTTGTCACTTTTACTTGAACTAGATTACTGAGCAAACAAAATTAAGATTTAAGTTTATGACTTAAGAAGTATATATCGTATGTATTTTTATTTGACTTTCTTCCAATTTTATCCAGGTTGATTTTTCTCAAACTTTAAGTTCTACATTAGAAAACCCATTATAAGTTCATTTTAAAAAACCTGGACTCATCAATTTGTGATTTTAGAACAGCTTAATACTGCCTTTTGAAAAGCAAGCCTTTAGAATATCATTAAGGCCAAAATATACTCAATGAGAAAGTGTTTCTTAAGTTCTAGCCCCTGCTAACTCTCCATATGACCCAGTGGGTCATTAACTTCCTTAGCTCTTTAGTAAGAGAATGCTACAAAGTAAAAGGTAAAAGTTATAAAATATATCCAATCTCCAACTCAATCAGCATGTCATACTTTTTCTTAAAACACCAGGGGACCATGTTCTAAGCATTCAAATTAAATTCTGCGGGAAACACCATTCGTTTTGTAATGTCATTTTAAATTCTAAGTCCCAGCACACACACTTTCATCGTTCTTCACCTAGTTCATAAGCTCATTTAGTATACAGGTTTTGGAGGACAGGTTTCCCTTTTCTATTAGTAAGTGTGATAATTTAATGACCTCAATTAGAGAAGGGAATAAAAAGGCTCACAAACCTAAAAATAGCTCCATTATCCATCCACACAGAGAAGGTCAGTTTTTCTTTCCACTGTACTAGCAGATATTTAAGTAAGTGGCCATCGATCAGTCTAATGTCTGGCTCTCGTTTTTCATAAATGAAGGGCTGTGGCTTTAAGTAATCGCAGGCTGCCGGTGCCAGAGGCAGAAGCTGCAGCCTCAGCTTCTGTGAGAGAGGCAGCTGAGCAGACGGGAACCTGCAGGACGTGAAGTAAGGCTCACGAGGACCAATGGCACGCCTCCTGATAGAGCTTTGAATGTAGACAGACCTGACTGGTGGGTGGCGTGGCCACCTGTGCACTCCTTGGACGGTGCGGGGGTGGGGGGTGTTGGAGACAGAAGCTGGAAAATGGGCTGCTCCAGCAGCAAAATGTGCCTCTATTCTCCATGTGCAGCAACAAGGGTAATTAGTATTTGTTTATAGTGCTTTTCTGGAAGAATGTCAGGGACTAAGGCAGAGGTTGTCTGGAATGAGAGGGAAATGCTTTGAATGACAAGCAACTCTTGCCTGCAAAGGCTGGTCCCGTGATCTCTGCAATACCGTGACCAAGATGCGGCGGGAGCTCCCCTTGGCTGATCCTAGTGAGGGCATTTTCAGAGAGCTTTGAATTCTGCGTTTTCCTTACTTACACCCTGGTGGTAAGGAATCTGCCTTTTAAGACGCTGTATCTAATTACTGTGCTCGTGTATGTGTGTGGATATGTGTGATTGCTATGAGTTGCTGGTAACTTGGAAATTTCTCTTTTTTTTGCAAGATGGATAATTGCTTTTTTAATACTGAAACAGCTGCCTGGTTTGCTTTGGTTCATTTCTCAAACATCTACTTAGAATCATAGCTGATCCAAAATATAATAGTCCTTAAAAAAGAATGTGTAGCTAAGTGAAATTAATTTAATTTTGTCTTTAAAGATTGTTTTTTTCACTGTCACTTTGTAACTTTGTGTCTTCGTTTTAGAAGTAAAGGATTGGCCTTGGAACTAAACTTTTTTATTTGCAATTATAGGACAAAGTACATATAAGTGCATATGTTCAGGACATTAAATATTTATCTTAAACTGAGTAGACCTTTATTGCCCTTGGAGGAGGAGAATGCATTACGTCTTAAGTACACTATGCATTAGCTGAAAGGTTCCGCGGATCAGCAATGAAACCTGGCTCAAAGTAAATATTTTTAAATGGGCCATTCAGTGCCTCAAACGAGAGTTTCACGAGGACCTGAGAAAAACATGAATTTCCCTAACAACTAAGGGACATCTGTGTTTTTTTAACAACACAAACTGTTAGCCTAAATGATTCATATCTTGTCGTCTCAATTGATTCTGAGGCTCCTGTTCTTGCTGATAACGAATGTGTGTGTTATTGAAAGGGACCCTCTTAAAAACATTAGTAACTTGATGTGTGTTTTCCGCAGCGGGAGGAAGCACTGAAACAGCACAAAACCCTGTCTCAAGAACTTGTTAACCTCCGGGGAGAGCTAGGTAAGAGCTTTTTTTTTAAGTTTTATGGGACAAGGGGAGAATTGGAAAATTTGGTTTTCCTCTCTGCATTGTGGCTGGAGTTGCATGCTGGCAGTTGTTCCCTGCCCCATGCTGGTATCTGTGCAAACACTTACTATCGACCTTTCTTTTGAATCTTGGCAGCTTGACCTCAAGTTCACAGAATTCCTGGCACTGATCTGACTAAGCCTAACAGAGCTTCTGTTGACCAGAACATTTCTCTTCCTGAAGAAAGGGCCAGAGTGATTTTTGTAATGATGTGGATTCCTGTTAAATAATTCCATCATATTGTTTTCTGAACCACTTTTCATATTAAAGAGTGGTGAGAAATTGCCCTCTCTGATAACAGGAAGTACGTTATACTTCTTTGGGGTGGATTGGGGCAGTGAGTATGAAGTTAGAAGGATGCTGTGTATAGGGGTACCCTGTCTGAAGAAGGCACATTCTGTGCTAATCTTATAGTTTGGGGCTGACGGTGAATAAGGACCCAGTTGCCCAGGAAGCCATGTGCCTCTGATGTCTGTAGCACTCCCCACCCAGTGCTGCTGTTCCCAGGCCGAACTCTATTTGGTTCTTGTCTCTCCTGGAAGAGTCCTCAGGGTTCGTGCAACAGAGACAGCACTGCTCTGCCTGCCTCACCTACGGTGTTGGAGTGAACTGACTGCATTGGGCTCCCCCCATCTGCTGTGGGCAATCAGCCTCCTGCTCAACTGCAGGCAGGTCCGGAGTTGCGCATTGAGAGGCTGAATTCCCTGCCCTCTGCAGTTTTCCACGTATGCTGAGAGTCTGCACTTAAAGTGTGTGTAGGGATGTGTATAAATAACACAAAGGCAACAGCCAGAGACAAAAATTGGGTCTCTCTAGTTCTAGGAGAAACTACTCATATTTTTCTTTGGATGAGACCAGACTTTAAACATTGTCCGTATAATTTGCAGGACTTGAACACTCTTAAGTTTTTTTCCCCAGGGCAAAGATCAAATGGCAGGGACTTCTCTCTGCATTACTCTTCCGTTTTCACCTCCCAAAGGGAGGCAGCACCCAACTCCTGGCTGACATCCAGATTCTTAATACCTAGCTGGGCATCGTTTTCTCCTGACCTTATTGTAGGCTATGGCAATGAAGAACTCCTTATAGAAAAGTAATTTTAAGGCAGATGGAACTTCAGGACCCCAAAGACTTGAGAGTTTTAAGGAAACAGTTGAAGGAAACCACAGCTGAGAAACAGCCCAGCTCTCAGAGACTTTTAAGGCTTCCTGCCATGTTACTGAACTTGACTACTGCCCTTTTGATTACCCAAATGACCACCTTTAATTGGCTTTTGTCTGTGCCTTAAATAATGGAATGGACGTAGAGTTAGATGATCAGGAAAGAGGTCTTTGTGTGTTTCAGAGTTCATTATAACCCAGTGGAAGTGGAGATGAGCCTTGCGGTGGCTCACGTTTCAGCCTCTCCCAAGACAATGCAGAAACGCTGATGGAACACTGGTCTCATTCACTTGCTGGAATGGGGTTCCTCTGTTTACCTTTTAGTCGATGGCACAATTAAGTGATTTAAGTTGGGACCCAGGTACTCAGCACCTCCAGTTAGTCACACAGCCTGACAGGAAATAGCCGTTAACAGTTTGTATTCACTCTCACCTTTCCATTGGAGATAAGGAGAGTGTGCCCTGGTTTGCTTTTACTTACACTGTTGGCCTGTCCATTATCATTCAGTCACCCAAGGTTAGATCTGTAAAGAATGTGTCATTATTGCTGTTGAATGGGGTAGAATTGCTCAAGTAAGAGCGTGAAGCTTTTTGGGAAGGGTTTTGGTTCTGCGAGGGGAAAGAAGAGAAGGCTTTAAATAGTTCTTCTATGAAACTGTCCAGGAAAAATGCTCTTGAAGCTGCCAGTTTGATTGTTTGTAACATGAGCTAAGATGGAAAAAAAGTTAGTTTACAAAGCAAAGTTTAAAACTCGGTTTTGAAATTTGAGGCAGTGGTGCAAAGTGGTTAGACTGTGTTGTCATACCATCCAGATTCAAATCTTTGGCAGCTGGGTGACCTAGGGCAGGCCACATTTCGTGTCTTCTGTCCCAATTTCATTCTCTGTAAAATGGCAGTGATAACTGTCTGCCGCAAGGGTGGTCATGAGGATTACATGAGGTAAGGCGTCGTAAAGCATCTGGCACCAAGTGTTGACTACTATTAAGTAGTATTAAGATGTGTACAGTTTGCAGCTGTGTAGTAGGATTACTTGAGGTAACATGAGGTGTCACATGAGGTAAGGTGTTGTAAAGCGTCCAGCACCAGGTGTTGAGAACTAGTAAATAGCATTAAGATCTGTGCAGTTTACAGCTGTGTGGTAACCACATCTGCTATTTTAGAAGGGCATAGACTATACTGCAGAAAGGAATTGTAATTAGACTAAATATTATTAGAAACCCCTCGGGGCAGGCTGTTTGTCTCTTCAGACTCAAATGGAAGCAAGACGTGATGGATCCCCTCCTGATAGGGCGGAAGGGCTTGGGTTTTGGAGTCCCATAGTCTAGGTTTCTGTCCATCTGCTCCTAGTTAGAAGTTACCTAACTCTCTCAGAGTACATTTCCTCACTGGTGATATGAAGTTAATATGTATTTTGCTGAACTCTTGTGGAACTTGAACAACATGGTAATATACATGAAGCAGTAGCATAGTACCCGGTCCATCACAGGCAACTCAAGAAAAGAGAGCTGCCACCAGCACCATCGTCTAAGTGTCCACCTTTCTCCTCTGAAATATGGGGGATCATTAGTGTCACTCTCCCACTGGGTAATTTTTCTTTACCTTCTCTATGAAATTTGAGGCAAGACTCCCAAACTACTAATAACTGCAAAGAACGACGGACAACGCGTAAACTCAGGAGCACTAAAACCCAAGTAGAGTCTGCTCTATTGACCTGAATCCAGCTGCCTCCCACTGTGCCCTCCACTGACTGACTTTCCCATTGACATCTCACTTTTGCTGACAAGTGTCCTCTACGGCCCAGTTATCCCAACTTGTCTCCAGTGCTTGGCCTGCGTGTCCCTGCCATCTGAGCCACACCCCCTTTGTGGAATGATTTATCATTTGCTTCTGCAACAGCTCTCAAAAACCCCCTCTCAGTGTCCTCAGAGCAAAACCGTGAGGCTTCCCTTGCTCCAGTGAGTCCTTCATACTCACATTCGTGTATTTATTATATCTTTTCCTGTTGTCTTCAGATAGTAAATCCTTAACTGCAAAGGTTCTTTCCTGCTTCCTATGCAAAAAGTATATATATAATATGCTTCCCATTTTCATGGGTGATTGATAAATATTTATGGGTATTTGGAGTTTTAAAGTTTCTTTATTTAAGAACAATGTGTAAAAATTAATAAAAATTGTGAAGTGAGAGGAAAATAGCCCATAGCTCCATGACGCTGGTATAATTTATTTTTTTGCCATACCCTTGTCTTTGTTTACATGGTATACACAACTTTGTACTTTCCTTATTTTAAGGTATAATTTAATTATAATTTACATACAGTGGAATGCTTATTGTTCCATCGGTTTTGACAAACACATATGCTCATGTAACCTACGATTTTATCAGGGTATAAAAGATTTCTATCATCCCAGAAAATACCCTCAAGCCCCTTTCCGGTACACCCCTCTTGCCCTCGAAGCAAACGGTGATCTGATTTTTATCACCATGGGTTAGTTTTGTCTATTCTAGAATTTCATATAAATGGAAGCATACGGTATGTCCTTTTTGTGTCTGGCTTCTTTCACACAGCATAATGTTTTTGAGATTCACCCATGTTATTTTGTGCATACTCTGATCTTGTAAGCTTATGTCAAGCATTTTTCCATATTGCTTCATAATCTTCATTCTGGTCCTGTTTAATGACTATGGGCAAGTCTGTTGAGTGGATGTAGCATAATTTCACCTACCCCTTAAATAGTGTTGTAGAATGGTGAGGGTTTCATTGTCAGCTGTCTTCCCATCCATCCCCATGGCTGCAGCTACAGCCTGTAGGGTGATGACTCCAGGTTTGTTTTTCTAGTCCTCTCCTTCCCAAGCTGCAGATGCAGTTTCCCTGGTGAGGAACTGCCTCCAGGTGAGCCAGTCCAGGGTAATCAGCCCTTCCTGACTCCGGGCCCCTTGCCTCCTGAACCCTCTGCAGCGTCTCCTCAGTCACACCTCTTCCTCAAAGTCTGTTCCTCAGCTTCACTTAGCACCCAAGCTAACGACTGAGGTCGCACTCCTTTTCCTCCATCCTGCACGTGCATACCAGTCTGCGCTCTAAACATCGCTCAGCTCCGTCCCTCCTCAGCATTCTGGCTGCTGCTCTTCTAATTTAAGCTCCATCGTTTCTTACCTAGAATACATTCCGATGGCCACCCAACAGGTCACCTTGCCTCGAAGCCCACTTCTCTCCTCTCCACATGCTATCAGGACGGTACTTATAATAAATCTCACATGTATCCTCTACTGGACATTTTTAACAAACATAAACGACTCCATTTTGACTTTGGGGAAGAGTCCAAACATACTAAAGCCACCATGTATGACTTGACCATACCCTTCCAGTCCCCCTTCACGATGTGTGGACCCAGTCACCTTGCTTCGCACCTTCTTCCCCCTCTCCTGGTCCCAGCCACGGGTGCCTTCGTACCTCTTTGGCACCTCTTTGACACACATCGTCCTCTCTGCCTGGAACGTGCTCTCCTCTCTCCACTATCTTTCTATTTTTTGCCTTGCAAGCTCCTTCTCATTTACTGATTTTTTAAGTCCTAGCTAAAATATCTTGTCATTGGTTGAGTTTTGCCCGAATCTTTCAAGCCAGTTAATTGCACCTTCTACTATGCGCTTCTCTAGGTCTTTGTTCTTGTAGTTACCTGTTCATAGAGCTCTTCTCACAGTCCAGACGTGTGAGTGCTTCAAGGACAAGGCCAGTTCCTCCTTCATCTCTGTAGCTCTACCAACTAACACATTGTGCCTGGT